GAGAAATAACCAACTTTAACCTACTAATTTCGTTACTAATTTCGTATCGATTTTGAATCGTATTTTCGTGTTGTATCAAAAATTACCACCTCTAATGCCATGGTAATAATGTTAAATCAAAACAGACATATAAACTCGTAATATAAGATCAATGAATGTAGTTGGGACCATCAAACTTATAATAAATATGGGTTAACCCTCAATTCAGAGGATGTCATGGTGACAATGTTTATATGGAGACAATCAAAACTGACATATATAGAAATTAATGGGGTTCTAATGTAATGATTTTGACTTGAAGTGGTTGAAGTGACAAAATTTATAATATAAAACACAGTAAGTTTTAATAAATTTATTCAACAGTCTCAAATATACTCTTTCAATTGTCATCAATATTCCTCACAAAATTATTCAAATTGTACCGTATTTTTAGATACGAGTTCCCTTGATACTAGATATATCGATGACACTTTTTTTAGTACATAAAACGGATATGTAGATTGATTACTCTACATATTCAAACATTGCTCCTTAACCACGCAACTATCTACAAGGAACCCTACCGCACATATGTTAAGGCAGAAACTAAGATCCCACAGTGTACTCTGAGCGCTAAAGAGTAGGTTTACCCCCAACGAGCTGTCGTAGCTGTGGAGACTTGAACCCAAACATTGAGTTATCTACTGGGCCGACAGCTCGTTGGTATGACACTTATTTTTTTCGACAACTAAATTAATGTCATTAACAAAGAAATAAATTAAAATTGGCAAGCATCGGAACAGAACCCGAACAAGAAATTGATCAGAAAATAGCATGGACAGGAAGAAGAAGAAGATGCCCTATAACCAGAAAAATTTCAGGATAGCAATATCTTTCATGTTACATTGCTATTAGAGTAGAATCCAATTTCGAATGATGCAAGAAAATTAAATAGACTAATACTATTTGGACATAAAAATTTGACCTAATTTACCGATATAATGATATGATTTCAGTAGAACTATTGGATCAACACCAAGTTCTAATGTTTGATGGGCCCTACAGTTAATCTAAAGGTCATAGTGAATTAAATCAACAAATTAGGTCAATAAATTAGGTCTCTATAGTATTGCTCAATTAAATAAGGAAAAAGAATATACATATGATATGTACATACAACATAAAAAAACGCCCCAAACACTATAGAAAAGGATCCAATAATAGGTGGGTGGATAATACTACAGTATTGATGAGTTTATTTTTTTATGTTGTACCGAAAATTATAACAAACTAAGAAAGAAAATTTAATATAAAATAAAGTTACTTAGAATTGATTTCAATTTTTATAGAATGGTAACTTGACGTCCTTGAGTTGTAACTGACCTTTTTTAATCGTAATTTTGTCACAAATAAATTAAGTAAATCTTATTTTATTTGTTAATTTCGATAAGGTATTGAATTCGGTACCATAATTTTATCCAAAAAAATATATATATTCCAACAACTGCATTAAAAATATAAGCTCTTTCTTGTTGAAGCACTATCTTCCATTTGCTAAAGGTCATCTCAGTACGTTATATGCTACTTCATGTGGAACTTTAAGGTGAAGCTTTATCATCTTCTATATCCAAATTGTATACCTTGTATCACTGTCCCCTTACCAACCTAATCCATTGTCCACCACCCAAAGTCTCTCTCTCTCTCTCTCTCTCTCTCTCTCTCTCTCTGCAACCAGTGATGGGTGTGCTGGTAAATACTTTTTTTATAAATGTATCGTAATCACACCATTTTTTTTTGTTGGGTCTCCGTGACGCACCAAAGTTATCGGATTGAGATCTTCTCCATTATATTTTCTTTAATGATAGATCAACCGTCATGAATTCAAGTGAAACCCAACATACGTGAAACATGAGTGTTCCACCCCTGCATGAATGAATATATTTTGGAATCAAACGTAAATTGATAGAGCAGCATGAGATCCTTTATGGAATGCATTGTCTTAATGTATGGGACTAAATTGACAGAGCAGTACTCTCTCTCTCTCAATGTGAGATAGTTCACCATAGCCTTTAGAAGATAAGTTTTACATCAACCGATAAATCATGACGTAACATTAACAAATCTGGCATATTCTATCCACAGCTTGCAGCTAGTAAAACCCAATTGGAGCAGGCTGGGTTTGTTGAACCAGTCCTTTAAGACCCACCAAAACAACATTAATTTTGGACGGTAGCCTTAAGAATTGAAACGCAGTGGAATAGTTAATTAGATCATCAGTCTCATGTAAGGATATATAATCTCATTAGCCAAGCCATAGAGTTGGATTTTAATTCGAATTCGATCTGAATTCGACACATAATTTAAATTCAAATTTAAATCTGTTATTAATAAGTCAAAATTGGATATATGAATATCTAACCCAATTACAATCCGATCTATAATATATCTAACTCACATAAAATTGTACATGTATAAGAAATAAACAATAGAAATCATAACTATTAACTATTCTTTTCTACGTTCATATTAGTTAGGTAGGATTGATAATCATAGATGAAGTTGCATAGAAATTAGGCTATAATTTCCAAAGTCAGGCTTAACTGAGTCATTCCAATCAGACTTCAGAAGATTTTTAATTCAATAGGTTGGCATGTCTGCCTATCATTGAGACACCTGGACAGCAAGAGGAAGATTTTAATTCAATGTTTTCAAATTCAGAATTCAGCAAGCATCCACAAGAAGGGAAAAAAAAAAAAAGCCTTGGGGAAACTTTTCAGACCTTTGTATTTTTATTGTAGTCCATAAGGCTAATAAAGAGATTTTTGGGCAGTTGATGCCCAATATATATATATATATATATAAAGGGTGTTCAGACCAGTTTACATATATTTTAACTAATTTCTTATTTGGTCTGATTAAAGACAGGTCATTTATGTTAGAACTAGTATATTCATAAATAATAAATCTCCTATGATCTGGTTTTAAAGGATTGTCAAGACTTGAACTCAAGACGTCTGAGAATTGAGAAGCATTCCGTAGATAAAAGAAAGATGAACAAAATAATATTTCTAAGATGTTGGTCTGTTAAGTTATTCAACGAAGACCAAGCAAAGAAAGAATCAAATTTTTAATTTTTTTTGGTTTAATAATCAGCACTATTCGGTTCAGTTTATGCACACATTGACTAGTGCTCTTTTCCGGCGGATTAAAAATAGATCATCCACCCCGAGGCCACATGAAGTATTTTTAAAAATAGAATGAACCAAGAATTGGTACACAATTAATAGGTCAAAATAGAAAGCACACAACTTGGTCCTCTCGAGTACTAATTCATGTAATTTGGGTTCAACATTGTTTAACAAGTCAAAGTAATACTTTAATTAGAGAGAGGGTATTGTACAAGAATGGTTAATTATAAACAACCCTAAGATTGTGTGTTCGATTATAAGAGTAGGTTAGGGCTGGAGATGAATCGAAGCTTTTATGAACAGTTTGTGATTGGTTCATGTTGGAGTTCATTTAGGTTCGTTACATATAAAACAAATTGAACATGACCTTGATTTTACAATGTATTTAAGGGTGTGTTTGGATGGTAAAATTAGATTGGATCAGAGATCTAAAAAAATATCATTTCCTATTTAATCCAAACTCAACTATTATTGGACTGGTTATGATTTAATAGTTATATCTTTTCATTTCTCATGTTTGAATAACACGTAGACACTTCTGTGGGACTCATGGTGAAGGGTGATAAAATATGATATCACTGACTGTTTTGCCTCTAACCTATTCAATCCAATATCATGTTTGATTTATAAATTAGCCTTTGACCAATTTCAAATAAATTTTTTTTACATGTAATTTTTGAAAATATTGCAATTTTATACCCTCTAGGCGGGTGTTCATATGTTACAAGGATTATTAAGAATTCATTCAAACTCTCATTAATTAGTTATTTTATTATTAATTGTTAATTAATCTTAGTCTAAATAGAATATTACTTTATTAGAGTTAGTTTATTATTTAAATTAGTTGTCTTGTTCGAGAAAATGTCTCGATCTTTTTTAGACATGTTGGCAGAGCCTTATTTTGACAAAACATATTTATTGAAAAGAGAGAGAGGGGGGGGAGGCAACCCACGTAGATGGGTTAAAAATGACCTTTCAAAATGTGTTGGGATAAAATTCGAATGAGATTTTCAATACATTTGTTACTTACCAATCGTGAGATATATAAGTCTCACGTATTTTTTATTTTATTCTATCAGAATTATTCCTTATAACTAGCGATCCAAATATATCCTAAAGATTTTAGAAAGATTACTAAAACCCTTGAATACTATTCATTCTCAGAAGCTTTTTAAAATGTATGAACTAAATGAATTGAATTGGAACCAAAATTTAGAACATCTACTATGTACAAGATTGTGTTTCCTAAAACTACGTCTGTGTTTCTAGAATTTCATAATTTTTCCGGACATATCACACACAACTACCTTTTCCTTCCTACAAATTGCTTAGGTAGAGGATCAGTACTAATTTATTGATCAAATTAATGTATTTAGGTTTTTTAAAAATACATGATCAATCTGAATTGAATTGGAATTAATTTATTTCTTTTAAAATTAATGTTATTAAGACCTAAAAAATCGATTTAATTTGCTATCAAATGATGGAATCCCAATGAAAGAGTAAAGTCACTACAACACTGTTGAATCACATCACCCACATCATTAGATTAATTTTTTAAGTTTCAATAACATTACTATTCTTGTAAACTGAGGAGGTGATCGATAGTAATTCTCTTTGGTTGGTCAATTAATTACTGTTTTCCATTTTGCTAAAGATGTTCTCTGTATAGTGTAACTAAGCCATTTCAAGTGAAAAATTCAGTGAGAATTGTTATCTGTCCACCTAACTTTATGTCACTTTCTGTCTCAGCAATTTAAACCATTTTATTCGTTCATTTTCCACTACCCAAATCTCTCTCTCTCTCTCAAAGTTTTAATCCGTAGTAGGTGAGCTGGTAAGTTTTTTTCCTTATAAATGTATAGTAATCACACATTTCCTTACTAGGTTGTATCCTTTTCTTGCACTCCAAAGCACCTTTCCTTCACCCACACACCATCCCCAATATATACATAATCAGAAACCAACCACAAACTCCACGGGAAAAGTCACCATGCCTTCAGTTTCCGGCCGAGTTGTGTGTGTAACCGGTGCCGGCGGATTCATTGCCTCATGGATGGTAAAACTCCTGCTGGAGAAAGGCTATACGGTTAGAGGAACCGTCAGAAATCCAGGTAAAAATTGCTGTGTGTGTGTGTGTGTATAGACACACATGCAGAGAGAGAGAGAGAGACTTGATATGATATGAGCATACTAATGTTTTGTGTGTGCTTGTAAAAAAACAGATGATCCAAAGAACTCTCATTTGAGAGAGCTTGAAGGAGCAAAGGAGAGATTGACTCTATGTAAAGCTGATCTTCTTGATTATGAGAGTTTAAAAGAAGCCATCAATGGGTGTGATGGAGTTTTCCACACGGCATCACCTGTGACCGATGATCCCGTAAGTTGGTTTTGTATTTTTTTCAGTTTGGTTGATGAGAAAATGAAGGAAAACTGAAGAAAAAAATAACTTGCATAACATGTTTGAGGGGTCGGGTGGTTTAGTTAATGGGGTTTCACTTTATTCTCTTTTCTTTAGTTGGTGTCATGGTCTGATCAGTATTGATAAATGAAGCACCATTTGTTGGTGGGTGGGTCCCACATAATGTTTGCATGTTTTGGTAAATACAATTTCATAAGCGATTTTCATATCAAATAAGGGTAATGATAAAGATAAGACTACTATTTCAGAATCCATATCAACTTTGTTATGGTAATAATTAATGATATTTTTTGTGTTCTAGTAGCAAAAAAAAAAAAAAAACATAATTATCTATTAATATGTATAAATATTACTTGACATCTGTGTTATTACGTAAATATAAATTCACATAATTATGTGAAGAGCAATGTTGTAGGATCTAATGATGTGGCTTCAATGTAACTATTGAATAAATTGTGAGTTTTAATATTAGATGGAGCCCACAATCAATCTAATGGTTGTACATCATTAAATTTCTAAATAAGATCCAAATAACATTTCTCTTACGAAAATACACATACATTTATGTATATTACGTGACAACACTATTATTACGTGAATATACATTTGTGTTTCTCTTTATCTATATATTAGAGATATTTCATGTCTGAAGACACGGTGCAATGTGAATGATTTTGAGAGGGATGTTGGTGGTCGTTGAATAAGTCTATTTGAGATTGTCGGATGAGCTTATTAAAGCTTATTTTATTTTATATTATAAATATAGATATCATGTATAATGACAATAAAAAATAATCAGTGATAAATAAAATAAAAACTTATAGACGATGAGATGCTAAAAAAACTTTTAAAACACTATTTACCCTAAAAAAAAATATTTTTAGACAACATTACCCTTCTGATTAATTGCCCACATACTCTATGTTCATTATACTAATTAATTAAGGTGTATTACTAGTCTAAAAAAAATTAAAAACTCAAGTATGCTTTCTGGGCAAGCAAACATTTTTGTTATTGTTGTTGTGATACAAGACTAATTGTGGTGGTTGCAATGATGGTGTCAAGGAACAAATGGTGGAGCCCGCGGTGATCGGAACAAAGAATGTGATTGTTGCGGCGGCTGAGGCCAATGTAAGGAGGGTGGTGTTCACCTCATCCATCGGGGCTGTTTACATGGACCCCAATAGGCACCCTGATCAAGTTGTCGATGAGACTTGCTGGAGTGACCTTGAATTCTGCAAGAACACTAAGGTTTCTCTCAAAGTCTCACAAATACATTGATATGCACATCAACTANGTTGCTGGAGTGACCTTGAATTCTGCAAGAACACTAAGGTTTCTCTCAAAGTCTCACAAATACATTGATATGCACATCAACTACCAATGCTTAATTAAGTGTAGGTTTCTATCTGTGATGAACTATGAATTTTGGTGCTTTCGTTGCCAAATACCTTTTGGTGACGATAAGCTTACTTTACGAAGGTTTTTTCCATCTCCAAAAGTAATTAAGTTTTGATAATTAAAAGAGTTCCAAAAATGTTGAGCTTGACTTTGATAATTGACATGCCTTCTTTGTAGAACTGGTATTGCTATGGGAAGGCGGTGGCAGAGCGGGCGGCGTGGGACGTGGCAAAGGAGAAAGGGGTGGACCTAGTGGCGGTAAACCCGGTGTTGGTGCTTGGACCATTGTTGCAACCAACAATCAATGCCAGCATTGTTCACATCCTCAAGTACCTGACTGGCTCGGCCAAGACTTATGCCAACTCTGTCCAGGCCTATGTCCATGTTAGGGATGTGGCATTGGCACACATCTTAGTGTACGAGACTCCTGCAGCTTCTGGACGGTACCTTTGTGCCCAGAGTGTGCTTCACCGTGGCGAGGTGGTCGAGATATTGACCAAATTCTTCCCGGAGTATCCTATCCCCACCAAGTAAGTTCAATGCTCTTTTTTTTTCTCGAGAAATATTAAAAACATCATATGTGGTTGGGAGGGTAAAATCCAAAGCCCAGATAGTAGATCTAGTAAGACTTACAATTCAATACGCGTTATTTTAACTATAGGTTCTTAATTTTATCCAAAGAAAAATCACTCTATCCCTACTTAGGTCTCAATGGGTTGAGTTTTCATAGCATTATTGGTCATCCACCAGCCACAATTTGACTCAACAGGCAATGGTATTACGCCCCGCATGCGTACATTTTTAGAGTATCAACTCATTTATTGTTTGAATATTCTTGAGTTGCACACATAAACACCTAGAAAAGACTATGTCTTTTAAAATTTATCTCGATAATTATCTTATACAAATGGGATGTGAGATTTTAATAAGTTGTGTAGTAGTATAAAAACTCGAAAAAATTAGTACAAATGACGTGTGAAATTTCTTTTGCGTATTGGGTGTGGAGGTGTAGTTACACCAACTTTTGACTGCAAATAATCAAACTAAAGATTCAGACATTTTATCTAACCAACTGTACCTACGAAATGCTTATCGTAAAATTGACTCCATAAATAAATAAATATTAATAGAAATGATTTTCATGGCCATTGAGAATCCTTACCTACCCCGACGTCTTTGTCACCCCCACCTTGAAATTGGACCCTACTACTTTCCCTTGTACCTAACCCCATCTCAATGACTTTTTGTTCCTATAACTTTTTTTCTCTTTTTTCTTTAATGGGAATTTAGGTGTTGAAATTTTGTCCAACACTAAAACTATTGTTGTTAAAGGTGATGGGACATTGGTTGTTTTTCAAATCTATTAGGGTCTGTTTGAATGTATTTTTTGGGGGGTTTGGATTGAATTTATGAAATTTTCTCAAACTCAACCCTAAGGATTTGTGTATAGGATTCAAAAAAAATAGTCTATTCAATCTTATATTTGGTAAATGACATAAATATATGTGGGATCTATGAATTTATCTCAAATTATATTACTTAATTTACTCAAATATCTATTATTAGGTGAATATAAAAATGAATTTTTGTGTAAATTAATCTTTTTGTCTTCAAATTTAATCAAACCCCCATTTGTGGGTTTTAATCAACTACTCACTACTGGTCGAAATTGGACTAGGATTCATTTATCCTATAAATCTCGGACCTTAAATCTTAAACTAAACACGAATTTAGAAGGTGCATTGAACTGCTTTCACAAAATCTATCCCTTAAATCCAAACCCACATACCAAAAATTCCCTTAAGGTGGGGTGTTATGTTAGTAGCACATATCATTAGCAGAAATAGTGGGGCCACCCCAAAATTAGTTGTCAAGAATAATTAATGTGTAGCTTTCATAACTTATTGTGATTTGTGACTTAACTCATTATATCATTATAGAGACTAATTCTAGTTAATGACGTATATTCAGAGGGGTGGACCGAATATGTATATCTAGTCTTTGCCATTATTTTTCTTGAGGTCAAACTTGGAGAAAGCATTTATATGTTAAAATAATATGTCAACGAGTTTAAGTTAGAGAATCGATTTTTTTCTCGAGTTTCAATATAAGCAATTATGAATATTTGAGATTTATTATAGAAGAGTCTATCGTCACAAAAGTTTCAGGCACAAATTAGAAAGTAAAACCTCATTTTTGGTTTGAAATTTTGGAAAGTAAAACTGAACAAGTCTTGTGGAAATGCAGGTGCTCGGATGAAACGAAGCCAAGAGCAAAAGCTTACAAATTCTCGAACCAAAAACTGAAGGATTTGGGGTTGGAGTTCACCTCTGTGAAGCAGTGCTTATATGACACTGTCAAGAGCCTGCAGGAGAAGGGTCACCTCCCACTCCCTACCCAAAATGACGAATCCATTCGTATCCAGACTTAGTTTCTCATCTTATCTTTAGCTGCCATTGAGGAGTGGCTCCACCCACCCACAAAACCTAAAAACAAACACACACAAGAAGAACCTATGCGAGTAGTGTATAATAGAAAATCTTCATCCTTTGAACCATTAAAACCGTGATTATGTTATGTATTTTGAGGTTCGGTAAATGTATATGTTGATTGTGATTGATCATGTACCGATTGTTATGTAGACTTATTGGTATTGTTTTCTGGTGAAATGTGATGGGAGTCTCAATTCGTCGTAAAAGATAGAGCAATTATGAAGTCACATTCACATCGACCCAACAAAATCAACTTTCACTTCGGATTTTTTTTTAACTTTCTGATAATCAAAGAAAAATAACACGGGTATAAAGAACAAAAAAGTGGGCAGCAAAGACGGGATCCATAAAGCCAACCCATCCAGACAATTACTGCTCGGAGGAGGGCTTGCGAATCTTATTAACCAATTGATGTATTGAGCTGGTTGATGCCTCTAGCCATAAGGCTGATGGGGTGAGTACAGTGTTCCAATATCCATAAAAGAAGAGAGATGTGAAAGTGTGTATGATGTCTTATTGATCTATTTTCCTATAAAACTGGCCAAATGATACTTCAGTCCATATCTACTGGACTTCTCTGAGGCAATTGCATGCTCACTATGTCCTCTCTAGGTACACTATAAACTGATGCATGAACCGAATCGTTACACATCTGGTGACTTTCAGGTGCTGTTAAAGCCAGAAGGTGTGTGCCCTCCTTGTTTTTCCGGAAGACTAGGTACGCGATTCCAGCCAAATAAACCAACATACCTGAAAATCCCAATATTCCGCAAAACACGGTGCCCACGAGATTTATATGGCTATGAAGAAGCTTTCTGACTAAACTTTCTGCAATATACTCCATATTAATGCCCATAATTAGGAAGCCAATGATCCAAGTGGCTGCTGAAATCTGCGGAAAAGATACAGTAAATAAAATGAACCCAAGAAATGTAAAATATGCAGATATTAAAGCCTTCATAAGGATAGGCAAAACACAAAAAGACTTTATATGAATGATGTCAAGGATTTAGCAGAGTCGCCTCGGCATGCACATTCCACAGTGGCAATTCTTATTGTCTAATTTGCTTGCTTAAGCATACAATGATCACATATCCCTGCAGAATATCCTTATATGCAATGGTCAAAAATACATTTGATCGGATGCTCTTTTGAAAGTTACTTGTGGCTGTTGCCTTTTGGCAAGATGAGCAAATGTTAACAGATTTCAGTTCCAACTGTTCGATCATGCCATAAAGAAGGTGAACAGAATTGCCTGCTATCTAAAAATTTTGGATAACAATTACTATGATTTTACATCATACATATGAACAATTAGTAATATAACTTGCAAGTCAAGGTGAAGTTTTACCATAGTTGGGTTGGCATGTGACCCCATCTTGTTCTTGCTGCTTGTGAATTTGAGAAGTGGAACAAGAGCAAAAGGGAGTTCAAATGCTAAGATCATCTGCCAAGAAATAACACAAGTTAGATAAGCTTTCAGAATAAACTTGACGAAAAGGAAACAAGAAACGAATACACCGTTCACATGGTTCAGAGGCAAAAAAATTATTGGTACAGTAGTTTGTTCACCCTTTTTTTACGGACATGTTTGAAACAATGAAGATATGGGTGATTTTCGTGAATCAAAAAAGCAACATCCACTTGTATACAGTATTGAAAGTCCGTTAAGAAACTGATGATTCTCAAAAACCCTTTTTTCTTTACCCAATAGTAAAATCATAAGGAAATTTATAAGTCTCTATTATATTTCAAACAAAAAGGTAGTTCTAAACTGAATTTGATCTCATGTATGCAGCCAAGTATGGCTTGACTTGAGAGAAGGTATTATTTAACAAAGCTTAATAAGAACTGAACCATGAATTAACATAAGATCCCCAAATTTTCCTTTACCATTGTCTAAGATGTTGGCCTGGGTGCAGTAAGTCTTCCAAAGACTCGGTGGAAGTGTTTATCCTACCCAACCAGTGGGTGCTTGTTGCTGAGCTAGTTAAAAAAAAGAAGTTGCGCCTTCACTAACAACTATGGCTTTTGGTGCAACGGTAAACGCTTCGGTCTCACCTACGATGTACAGATAACGATACAAGATACGCGTACGATACGTTATGGATACGACGATACGACAAAACCTTAAAAAATAGGATATGTGTATGACTAAAATACATCTATTAGAAAATATATTTTATATTTTACTATTATTTAACGACTTCAAAAAAATATTTAACAATAGTAAGAAAAATTAGTAATTTTTACGTTGAAAATGATGTAACGTTGTCTCGTTATGATATATTTATAAAGTGAACGTGACCAATTAAATGAATCAAAAATAACATTTAACTAGTTGGTTTGTCTGTGAGTATTTGCTTATAAGATTATAGTATAACCAACTCATTTTTTTATACTCTTTTAACATGTAATAGGAGATAATACTTAAAAAACACTCGTGTCTTTAAATTCAAATAAAATTTTGTTAATATTTAGTATTGTATGAAAACTCAAAAGGAGAGGGTATAAATTAAAATTAAAAATTGTACATTTTTTTCATATGTAGAAGTATCCATAAATTTTATTAATAATCAAATACATATGATGCGTATCTAACAAGTATTGTATCTGATACGCGTACATCAATCATGACAAAGTATCTGTGCTTCATAGTGTCCAAGAATTGATATCAGAGCAAGGTCACAAGTTCGAATCCTAGGGTAGTTGCAGAGGGGGAGATTGTTGACCTGGATAGAGGTGCAGCAAGTTTCCCAGAGACTCAGTGGAATAGTTTAACCAACCCAACCCAACCCGTGGACTCTTGTTATTGAGCTAGTTAAAAGAAAGAAGGTGCTTTCACTAACTATAGCTTTTAGTGCAATGGTAAGCACTTCGGTCTAACATAAGAAATCAACTTAGAGCAAGTACAACAAGTGCATGCATGATTGCTAACCATTTATATGTAGACTTCAAAGAAGACTAGTTTGGTTATGAAAAAAATAATAAATGAAAAACAAGGGAGAAGCTACCGCATTTAACCTTGAGCCTTACCTCTGGTGGAAAAGGTGTAAAATGGGGTTGAGTCCAAAGTTTTAATCTTACTATCACCAAGGGGAAAAAAGAAGAACAAAAAATGAATCTTGAATTTATGAATAAGCATAGAGAGTATCAGTTGTCATTTAAATGTGACCACATAAAACTGAGAAAACTACATCACTAAACACTGGATGTGTGGTACAAGTTGAACCTTACTACTGTTCTGCACAGCAGAAAACTCTAAATACACAGTAGAGTAATGAGAGGGCCAAAGCAAATGTAGTTTACCTGAGATATAATGATTAATTCACCAGCCCCGGCCGAGCCACCAATAAGTGCAACAATTAGACTTGGTACTATAGCTAAGCATCGAGTCAAGAAGTTCCGAACCCATGGCTTCATCCGTAAATCAAGAAACCCCTACAAAATAAAAGTTGGCGTATATATTAATCATATAAGTTAAAAAGACAAGAAGATAAGTGTGTTTGCGGTGACTACGAGTTTCCAGTGCTCCTTTCTTTGGGTTCCTAGACTTGGGCTCAAGAACTGGTTCAAAAGTAGGTGGTAGTGTGACATACCCAAAATAATTTGTAACAAGATCAATTCAGGTCATAGTAAGGAAATTTTATGCAATCCATCAATCATGTTATGTATAGTTCGACTGCACAAGTGTTAAGAGACATCCAACTGTGCAAAATGTTGCCCACTGGTGTTTTGCAATAAGTTACATGACCAGAATTAGTAGAAAGGTCAGACCTGAAATTTTTCTATAAAGTATCTATTACAATTTGGAAGATCCTTAATGAAGCATCCATTGCGGGAACAAACCCGCACAAAATGATTATGGTTGAAATCAGAAAATAGTTCCTCAGACTGGGAGGTACTACAGAAGTCCATTATCACTTCCCGTAGTTTAAGACCACACTTTTAGCAGAGAAAAACAATATTGTATTTTGAAGGAAGCTTATCTTAATAATAAACGGAATAACAATGCTAATTTTTCAAGGTCCAATTATCCGAAACAATAACAAGCAAAAAGTGTGGGTTCAAGTTACTTTTTTCAGACATAAGAAAACTGATTAAACTTGTTGGCCATAACAAATACACACTAGGGTGGGGGAGGGAAGGAGGATTGAACACACAACCACCTGCAGTTGAGGATGGTCAGTCCCACAGGGCATAGAAAACGAAATACCTGCATGACATACTGGCCAGCATATGTTCCGGTAATTGTAGAACTCTGACCTGATGCCAGCAAAGCTATTGCAAAAAGCTTGGAACTCCATCTGCCCAAAACATTCTGGGAATAATACATGGAACAATCACTATCACAAAAAAATAGAAGGAAGTGAAGCATAATGCATCAGGAAGTGGATGGCAAGAAATAGAAAGGCAGAAGTACTATAAGCCTTGTTGCAGGAACTACAAGTCACGTACTCTAAGTAAAAAGGAGGCTTTGTTCAAGTCCAAGTCTTTGCAGCTCTTCTCATCATCCAGACCCAAATTTGAGGAATTGCAAACTGAACCACTCACTGAGATAACTGATAAATTAATGAGAAATGCCACCATTAGAGCAAAGCCACTTTCTATCATGTAAAATCTGCAAGCCTCCTGTAAACAACAGAAGTCATTAAATGCACTTGCTTTAGTTTAACAGAGTTAATTATCAACATGTAGAGGCAGAATTTTACGGAAATAAAGGGCGAGCAAACAAATGTTATCCTGGTGCCGGTGATAAATAAAACAAACTTCGTTCAATAAAGCCTCAAATAATACAATGTTTGTTTCCAGATGTTCTGATTGTTCTGAAAGTCATTATGACAAGTGAAATGAAAAATTGGCCTGAAAAACAGCTTAAGAATACGACTTCACTCTTCCTCCTCCTTGTCGTAAAAGAGAGGATATGACAATTTACAAGTCACCTGGCAAAAGGAGCACAACTGTAAAGAAAAGGTAAGTATTGCTGCTGCCATGGGTCTAATGAAATATTATGCTCCACACAACTCTTAAGTTTGATTAATTATTTAGCTTGCGTAGTGTCAGTGGAATTTGATATTAGGCAATGATTGTCAATTAAAAAGAAGTGCCGCCAAATGCAGATACTAAGACAGAATTTATTTAGCAAAGGATACACAAATTGACCGAGTTTAATGGCAGAATAAGATCTATGTAGCAGACCCCAAGTAGTCGGAATAACTAATGAAGCTTTTTTGTTCAGTTGAGTTGTGGGTAAGGGGTAGACGATAACCATGGCAAATCCATATTCTAACAGCAGCCTACAGTAAATATTAACTGTCGAACTGCCAATGTCCCCTTCCCTCTCCCCTTTCCTCCCTCCACCCACACAAAATGATGCCAATTTAAATTTAGATGTTCAATTTTACACTTACTTCTTATACATGGTCAAATAAAAAAGAGACAAAACACCACATGTTCCAAAAAAATACTCGGAAATCGAGAACAGGGCAGTAGACTAGATGGCCTGGGTGTTGATATTCTATATACAGTTGGATCCTACATAGGATGTTCAACTAAGGAATGAGGTTTTTATTTTCAAGACCAACAGAGATACACATATGTTAGCTCTACAATTAAAATATCAATAATTTTCTCAAATCAGACCACGTTTGAGCTATCTTTAGGCACAATTAACAACTTGAAAGCTGAAAAAGTAGTTCACTCAAAAATGTTACTTTGATGCCACTGGAAGATCGTGGAATTCTCCTTGAAAGCACCAGTGCGGAATGGAGGAAAAGATTGTGCCTGTGGCAAGTGCAAGAGAATCATCAAATATGAGGAATTTCAGGACGGAATGAGCCACTCCATTTAATCAATAACGAAAACTTACGGCATAACCATAGAACCAAGGAGTGAAATGGCAAGGCCAGTAGCACCACTTCCTCTGAATTGGGGAACAAAAAGCCCATTCAACACTTGTGAAGCATTGGGCTTTGCATATCCAAGCTCCATAAAGAAACATGCAGCAATGGTAAGGACCAGGAAAGCAATGAAGAACTCGAGCTTCCTCACCTGCAAAATGAGTACACATTAATTGTAATCCCCATCAGAGTTTCTGTAAATTCTTGATATATATTAATACCCCATATCGCTGCAATGCTAGAAGAACCAATGTACTGAGCCCCGTAAGAAGAACACCACACCATATTGGTATATTGAACAGCATGTTCAGTGCAAATGCAGTTCCAATCACTGGGCATGACAACAAGCAGCAATTAGGATCCAGATATATCAGAAGCCATTAAAAAATAAGTATACATGAATACTTCTCAAGCAAGTAGTTAGAATATTTGGATATGCTACTGTAAAGTGGATATGCTACGTTGATAGAATATTTGGATGGTACAAAATTGGGGTGTGATTAATATTTCTAGCTCAGCATATGCATTATGTATTATGCATTATACATCTTAGAGAAAACTGAAGGGTACTTGGCTAATTTTAGTTAAAAAGTCATTTAATTTGTTATCATTCATCCTCACAATCTAGGATCCAACTTACATGCAGACTAGTCTTTACAATATGACTACCCTGATTCTGGAAATGTACATATTGACGATGACGTATCTGTGTACGCCACATTAACAGATTGAAAGTTTCATGCTTGATCCTTCAGATCTAAGAACAGTGCCTCTTGTCCTTGGGCACTTTCACGGCTAAGCATGAATTCAGGTAACACAACTACAAGCATCAGAATTTACACAAAGTTTAATAGAATGCTTGCAGCTTCAAAGATCTGTCTACTATAGCTTAAATATAATTATCAATCTTTGAACATGAGATACATTACACTCCAACTCTAGTTCTTTCAAATAAGTAAATCATTTTTACCACCATATTACACTGTACAGAAAATAAGTCGGTGCAAGCGACAGAATAAATAAAAAATTCCAAAAGTACCCCAATATTCCCTATCTGAAGTAGGATTCTAAGAGAAGAAGCCACATAGACATAGGTCATCATCTACGGATCCAATTTCAGAAACTGGATCACTGGGCAGAAATGTATAGAATAGCGAAAGATCTATTGATCTATTTCAGAAAGCATGGTGCTATGAGTGTACATCATCTGTACATGTGCAGATACTGCTTCCTTGATGGTTCCAGACAGTCAAGGGTCCCTGGTGAAATGGAATTAGATAAAGGCACTCGATTTATATCACATACCTTCGGGAATGTCACATGCAACTATAGCAATTTCAGCAATAATCCACAAGATGAAATTTGGCACCTTTGGATATTCATTTCTACAGTGCTCTGCTAAATGCTTTCCTACAATTTAGAAAAAGCATACATTGAAACTGTCAGCAGATCAGCAACAACAAATTTGCAGAAAAGATTGGGTGTAGAGCTGATAGCCATTTAGATCTAGTGATGAAGATATCACAGACCTGTAACAACCCCTAGGTTCGCTGCCAGGGATTGGATAATGAGTGCAGAACATGAAGCCACTAGTATGACCCAAAGCAACTGCAATTGCATCCCCAGAGACATGGATGAATAAATTTCAAGGAGAGGGCAACTCCAGCAGGAGCCCATGATGTATAAACTTTAACAAAAAGAAGATATACTCACCCCATACTTGTACAGAGCTCCTGCCCGCAGATCAGACTCAACTGTATGTTAGAAACATTATGAGGAAGGTAAATAAATGGACTGCATAGATTTAGTAGCTTAAAGCAAACATAGAAATAGCATTCTTACGGTTTCCAGGATCAATATATGCAATAGAAACAAGAAACCCAGGACCCATGTAAGCGAAGAAGTTTTTCCAGCTTTTCCTCTGCAGATATAAGACATAAAAAGGCCATCAAAAAAATTCCTCCACAATTTCTTATGCAAATTTACAGTGACAAGTATAGAAGCCAATACTGGAGAAAAATTGTTGATTAAGAACAAAAATACACAGTTTGTTACATCGGAACAGTTGACCAATTAGGAACCCAGAAATACAGCTTGGCAGAATTATTGTCTAAAGCCGACGGCCAGTGCACTGAAATCTACATTAAGCTAATAGCAGTTGCTCTATCTTTGAACGGAGAAACAAGCATGAAGCAGATCATATAAAGAAGTGATCCACATCTCCAAGATCATACAACTCAGCAATCAATTGATAATAACTATTAAAATCCAATCCATGCTTAGACCCCAAAATTCCCGATACAAGATGCACCATAATGAATTAAGAGCACAATTAAATCTCAAATACAACACACCCAAATCCATTCGCGATTCACCAGGCTGACCCATCAAATTCAGTCTTAGACTCAAAAATATAATAGAAACTTGGAGCCTATGTAGAGATCACATATCAAAGCACATGATGAGCAGATCAATGTACAACTATAATATTTAAATAAAATGAAAAAACTGGAACTTATTGGGTGTAATTAGTAGATAATTGGAACAGCAAAGGCTTGTCACTATCTTCATTCATATTTGAACCTGGATACTTGAATGTGTGACCATCAATTAAACTTATTTCACCATTTCTAGAAGGAACAAACCCTCCTTGTTGTAAAGTTAAGACACCCTTCAATGACGTGAAATTGCAAGGACAATAGTCAGAATGCAAGTGATCTTTGTTCTATACAACTAGGTGTACAAAAAACGAAAAAATAATAATAATTTCCTCTAAATGACTTTGAAAAAAAAAAACCCAAATTAACCAATACCTTGAACCAGCCATAATATCAACATTTAGCTTTTCAGCCTACAAGGCTAAGCTAGGGTTTGGTAAAAAAATTCCGGCATAACCCAACTAACCAAAATGATATCTACCTCATTTTCAGTAAACTATGCAATCAAAACTCACACAAATAATTCTATCAAAGAAATTAGAACTCCATTGAATGTATACAAAAAAAAAAACTTAATTCAAACTGTTCGGATTGAATTCGTATTTACTTCAAAACGAACATGCAGATGACAAATCATACTTACATCGGGTACGACAATCTGATCATATTCGATGTCGTCGATTAGCGGCTCATTCTGAGGATTTCGACTTCCCGTGCTGGTGATGAACTGCGGTTGCGCAGACGACGAAGCCGCCATTTTTGCCTGGCTCTACTCTGTTCCGAGGAGACCAAAACAATGCTTCAATCAATAAACCGACAAATAAAAACTTGAAACACATCGCCTATACATACACATTCAACACACATACAAACTCACTCTCTCTCTCCCTCTCCCTCTCTCTCTCTCTCTCTACATACATACATATATATATATATATAGCTATAACCAGATCAGAAACGATGAAAGAAACAAAATTCTGGGAACTGGGAATGTAAAAAAAGCTGGAAAGAGTGCTAACACAAGACCTTGTGAAGGGTGGAGCGTAGAAGAAAATAGAATAGAGAGTGAAGGGTGTCTCCAGCTACACTCAAACAACAGTCCGCAGTGATGAGACCTGTTCTTGCGCATAAATTTATAGACCTTGCATGAACAAAACACTGTTGATAATTATTAAAATATTGAAGTTCAAGCATAAAGCATTTGTCTTTTCTGGATTTTTCTCCGTAGATTTTCGTAATTTTGGTTAATGTGGATGATGCGTGGATTACTGGGATACTTTAATGAGAGATGATCATCATATGAAGAAAAATTATAAGTTCTTCTAAGAATTACATTTTGACCACTTTAACTTTTCTGTCTCTCTCACATTACTCCTTAACTGTCCAGTTTTTATATTGTACTGCTAACTATAATTATCAGTTTTTTACAGTGTCCCAATTACAAAGACCAATATGAATTAGATAAAAAAAAATAATTGTTTTGCCAACAAATTTATGTGATTTTATTGATTTTTATCATAAAAATAAATGACAGGTGCGCGTATATTTCTCATTCAAATGCAAAGATGCTTTGGTTTTTAACACGAGAAACTAATTTACGAGATAATGAGATATTGTGAAAAATCAACAATAACTATTGAGTTATACAAACAATTTTGGGCAAATAACACGTTTCATTCTCAAAAACATTTACACTCAAAAAAAAATTATATTACATCCTCAATAATATGAAAAAATAGTAGCAACATGATCATTTTAATATAATTGTGTATATTTTTATGTAATATACTATTGAGTAATATACAAACAATTTTATACAAAAATATAAAAAATAAAGCAAATAAAATTGTTAGATAAAGTAAGGAAACATTTATTTTTGGACTACATTACTAGCTTTTTTAAATATTTTTTTGAATTGTACATTTTTTATATGATTCAAGGTATAATGAGAAATTTTAATACTTTAAGGTACAATTTAAGAATTTTTTGATCTTTTTGGAGTGCAAAGTATAATTCACCCTAATTAAAATTATAATTTAATGACCTAATCTTATTTACACCCAAAAAAATGCTTAATTCTCAATTTATATCCTTAAATATTAAAATTTTTAATTTACACATTTAAACATTACAAATTTTAAATTACCCCCTCAATGATATAAATTGTCAGCAATGTGAAATGTGAAAGTGACTCGAACTACCATTCAATTTTTAGTCATAAATTGAAGAACATGAGGTACAAATGTTTTTAGGCATGAAGATGAGATATGTATATTGTTGCAGATTTTTATTGTAATTAATTTAGCATCGTTTTTTGTATTAAAAATAAGATTTTATTAATTAAATAAAGGTTAATCTTTTCATATACTACTCACATGACCATCAATAGACTATGAATTTACACAAAAGTTCATGTCTAAAGTACTTGCAACTCACATGTGAGAAAAAATTGAATAGTAATCTGGGTCAAATCCATATTGTTACCAATCACTAACATTAAGGATATAAATTGAGAATATTTAAAGTATAAACTGAGAATCAAAGTATTTTTTGGGATATAAAATAAAATTAGCCTTAATTTAATTTATGGATCTAAACTGTAATTAGCCTCAAACTTTAACTTTAGTTTTGGAATTTGATTCCATCTGGTTTAATATTAGGGCTCTATATGCGGCCACGTCAGAAAAAAGATTGGGGATGGGTCTAAGGGAATTGCACGTGTTGTGACCCAACCAGTTGGACGTTTTGATTTCTGTTCGTAATGGGAACGCGGTCACAGTGTACTTTGTTTCTTTGGATCTGATTCGACTATTCATGATGACCCCAACTGCTACGATGTTTTTTTCGCATAAATTACGTAGGTGTCGTACACAAAAATTATGTAGAACACTACTATTTTATTTTATAGGTTTTGATATAAATACTTAATAAAATAAATAATTTCACATATTTCACATTCTTATTAATTAAAGGATTAATAGTATTTTGGTCTTTAAAATATATATTTTTTACCATTTTAGTTCTTAATGTATCAATTTGGTCCTTAAAATATTTAATTCGTGTCATTTTAGTTCTTACATAGACGGATCATAAAATTTTTTGACAAAATGGGTCACTTGTCATTTTTTAGACGGTATTACGTGTTCAATACATGATCATTCTGTTAAAAATTTAACAGTTTAAACATATAGGGACCAAAATGACACATATTGCAGATTTTAGGGATAAAATTGATACATTAAGGATTAAAGTAACAAAAAATATATACTTTAAGGATTAAAAATATTATTCATCTTTTAATTAAATAATAAATTATGATATCAAAAATTATTTTTCAATATCGGACGGATTGTTTCGAACTAACTCACAAAGTGGGACCACGTCTACTCCGAAAAGAATACGTGGCAAGTAAATGAGTCTGTCAAAGTACGATTGCTGGAATTTGATTGCTTATTCTACCAACTCCCTAAGATAATTCCAATGGGTGGGTGGGTAAGAAAAAATAATTTTTTGGCACATTATTTCCTTTTTTAATTTAATAAAAAATGGGATGTATAAATGTGTTATTATTATTATTCCAATCAACAATAAGACTTAAATGGAAGAATGATTAGTGATCAATTTTTTTTCTTTCAAAATATGCCACGAAAAATAAATATGGGCCCCATAGCATTATCCATGGTAGATAAACTTGGAAGACCGATTCTATTATTTTTCATTTGCCCGGTCAATATATGTGACCTGCAATCTTAAGGACTAAATATTATCAAAATTAAGTCAACAACATTATAGGAATTTTATATCCACCTTTTAACTCTGGGTAAAATTCATACACACCCCGTTGTATATAAGTCTAATTTCAACAACATCTAGTCCCCATTTTAAAATATCACTGTCATCCTTTATTAGTATTTGTTAAGTAACGATGAAAATGCTCATTTTACCACTTTACCCCCAAACTTTATATTGTTTGATATATTAAAAGGGTCGTTTGATTGCAGTATTAAAGAGTGAATTATAGAATCCTAACAGATTAAAACTCTCTAATCCAACTTTATATTATAAAAAATATTTTGTATTATATATATATAGTTTTATTTCAAATATTTATTCAAATAATACACTTTATCCATATTATTAAGTCGATTATAATACATGTAGAGGTGATATTGTAATCCAGTTTAAACGAATTAACTTATAAATTTATTATTTTACTCGCCAAATAAATAAAAACATTAATAACTAGATAAGATTGATATTTTTTGGTCAACACATAATTAGTACTCTATTATCTAACTCTTTATGCAATGTCTTGGATTACAATGTGTAGTATTTTTGTCTCATATTTAATTTTATATTTTATTCATTTATACGAAAATTAGTCTATATTACCTAATATTATGCATTCTTTTACGGTAACTAAACGAGCGCTAAGCGTCTTAGTGTGTATGTATGTGTGTGTGTATATATATATATATAGACTAGTTATTGTCCGTGTCTAAAGATATAATGCGACGAAAAAAATCAAGACTTAAAAAAATAAGCATTAGCAAGAGAAAAAAGCAGTGCATATAATGATAATAATAAATATATAAAGCCAATAAATATATAAAAAAAATGGACAAAGTTACATCTAAAACATAACTCAAAAAATTTGAACACATATACACAATTTACATATTTTATCATGGAACCTTAAAAAATAAAATTGAAAGAACTCTTGGATGTTTTGAGATTTTTTTTGATTGAAGTAGTAGCAACAACAAAATTGAAAGAATAACCACACAAAAAAAAATCTTTTCATCATTTTGCTCTGTCTTTCTCTATTCTCTCTCACCTTCGATTTTAGCTACAATCACATCATCAGGCACAACAATGTTGAGTCCATATTTGCCCATTACCTTGGCTTTCGATTCGAAACCATCACCGATGGCCTTCTCGACGATCACCCTCATGCCGGCGAGTGAATCATATACATTGTTCCTTCTTTACACTCAAGCAAAAGCCTCTAACAATAAAGTATTTGCAAGAAATAATTGTACTATCAATATGTAACTCACTGTTACAAATGTAACCAAGTAGGAAGCGCCATTCATAAATAGTATCAGCTATAAAACGAAAAATGAAGAATTTGAATATCACCTTCAATGTGATATAAAATATCATTTACTATAGCAAAACTCATCGAAACAGACTATAGTGCATCAAAGTATAGACTCGCAAAAGAGAGAGTGTCAAAAAATCTAACACATTCCTAAGCTTTGATAGTAAGAATAATTTATTGAACTTACTCTATTCCATGTACATTTCATCAAGAAAGAAAAAGAAACAATCATGAAAAGGTAATTATAGAATGAATAATTACAGTATCAAGTTCTTACTAAGCTTAGCCATTCAAATACACACTCATAGACAATTTTAAGATTAACACCACAATGAAATTCAATTACACAATTCAAAAAGCCTAACAACAATGCCACATTTAGGAACTACATTCTCTTTTTGAAAAGCCTATCAGAGCACAAATAGCAAAAACTGAAAAAAGACCAAAAATGAGATTTTCAAGCACTTTCTGCAACAATAAGGAAAGAGGGAAATGTGCGTGAGCAATAAAACCAGCCACCAACCTGCGCCATTGTGAAACACCTACTCCAAAGGTGGATTTTCCCAGATTTTGTACTCATCTATGAAAAAAAACCAACACATTAACCAAATCAATTAAGGAACTCACCTTCAAAGAGATAAGGAAGAGAGAGAGAGAAAGAGGTGTCAGGCGACTGTTTTTAAAAATGAGAGACAGAATTAGAGAAGATAGGTGTGTTTTTAAAAATGAGAGAGAGACATAGAGAGGGAGAGTCTCGGATAGCAGTTTAAAACGTGAGAGAGTGTTAGAGAAGAGAGTATCGGGCAATAGATAGGTGAGTTAGATAAGTGATAAAGAAGAGAGAGAAAGGTGTCGGGTGAGGTAGAAAGAAATAGGGGAGAGAGTTAGACTTGTTGGGAGGTAGGGAGATAGAGCCACATGTGAGATAAGAGTCTTACAAATTTTTGGCATGATAACCCTTAGATCAATAATCATCAAGAGATCTGAGCCGTGAAAAATTAAAGACAAAAAAATCTTGTTACTTTATTTTATATATATATATATATATATATATATATATATATATATATATACTATACAATATTTGTGTCTGAAGGCACTATGTAACACACACAAAAAATAGAAAGCAATTGCCTACATTTCTA